AGAACAGAAGGAGATTTAGAGAAAAACGATCTATAGGTACCAAGAGGAATATCTTCGAACCCTTATCATCTAATATAGGACCGGCGAAATCTAATTGTAACTCCTGATTTGGCCCAGACAAATTAGTTTATGTTTGTGCGGTATGAAAAGTCTTAGCAGGCTTAGGATTCTTACCATACAACGTGCATTCACGGCACTTCTCACAGGTATCGACAATCTGTCGGTTTAGGAACGGCCACCAAATTTATTCGGAGGCCGACATCATGGCCTCTTGTACTAGGTGGGAGCGGTGAAGGCGAGCAAGGAAAGCTTGTCTCAAAGCTTCGGGAATTGCCAACTTGTTGTCAATGATCACGCAGTTATTGACTACCGCTGCCTTGGGCCGGAATTGAGCCACATAAGCGCCCCGCTTATTGAAGGTAGTGACATCCTTGTTGACAATTGCACGCTTCATAGGGTCCAGAAAACGATCCTCCTCCGTAAGTTCGGCTAAGTGATCAGCATCAAAAACGCCTGGCAGTCCCACGATGTCTTTCTTAAATTTCGAGAGGATCGGCTTACCGCCATTAACTGCAAAGACCCCAATCTAAGCGGCTGTGTGGACCTATCCAGGTCTAGGTAAACGGCACCTTCTCATAGCCTCCAACAGCTGATTATGTCCCTCCTTTCTGGAGGTGATCCTCGCCGCAACAAAACGAGTTTTGGCTGCTCGTTGACGGGTTCGATTGTGTTGTCGGATTTGATCCAAACGAGAGATTCGACCTAACCGTCGAGATCTCATTGGAGGACGCGGGCTTGGTCGTCTGAAATTCGGTGAGTTCAGAGGAAATTTGTCCACAAATGTGAGGAGGTCAGTTTGTTCCATCGTCGAGTTGAGTATCGTCTGTGAGTCAATGGGATGAACTAAAGTCGACTTTAGATCGTTGGCAGTGAGTAGTTGGTTAGTATTAGGTGGTAGATACGGGTCGGGTAGAGTCATGTTTTGATGATGGTAAGATTGTAAGAGATGAGATAATGAGAGAAAAGAAGTTTGACTGTTTTGAATAGATTCAGGTCGGAGACAATGATTTTTAGTGAGAGAAACTGGTCTACGTTTTTTTATTTGCATACCCTTTTCTGATTGGTTAACACTCTCAGAGCACCAGAGCACAACTCGACGCCCTCTATCGGCGAGAAACTTGAAACACGTATTTGCATAACGTGATTTGATTGGTTGACAGACCGAGTTAATTTTATGTTGCCCCCTACCGGAGAAATTTTAGATGAAGACAAGGAAAATTTCCGGGTTGAAAGATCAACTCCCTCCTGCGATGGAGGACAAAACCCATTGCTCGAATTATACAAGCTAAAAGAATTTATGGATGTTAAGGCCGATTTAAAAGCCTCACTGGACTTAACGACAAAAAGTTCATCGTAATTAGAGGGAGCAGGAGCCGAAAATGTTGGGTAGCGAGATAAATAGTCCACAATACCCAGAGGGATGTGAAAAACCTCGAAATCAAAAGATATTAAACGATCCGCCCAACGAGAAAGACGAGATTGGTATGACTTCTTATTATAATTTTCGTTCAATGCCGAACTAATGGCTTTGTGATCCGTCAACACTCGAAAACGATTACCCAACAAATACGTACGAAAGTGTTCACAAGCCCAAACGATCGCTAACAATTCCAATTCGTTTGTACTATACTTCGCTTCTGCAGTATTAAGAAGCAAACGCAGGTGGGGCCCAAACTCCCGGTTTGATTTCCTGCTCGAGACAAGCTCCTAGCCCGTTATGGTTAGCGTCACATTTTACCCGTGAGTTTTTCAAGCATCGTAATGAAATAAACTAGAATTTTAGCCACTAAATTGATTATACTTATGAAGGCACTATCTTGTTCCTCTCCCCACAGAAACGACTGTTTGTTACGAGTCATTTAAGATAGCCGAAAATGAACTGTAGGTGATTTGTAGGTTTATACCTGAGTATGCAAATCAGGTATAAACCGTTGTAGGTGATTTAACGTTCCCATAAATGAGCGGAGCTGTTTCAAAGTTCTTGGTGGCTTGAGTGATTGGATTGCATCTATTTTTGAAAATTTAGGAGAATAACCGTCCTCATTAATATCATATTCTAACCAAGTTAATTGGTTAACAGAAATTTCACACTTACTAAGCTTTATTGCCAGCCTTCCGCATCGAGTCTCTGCATCACCTTCTCTACCATTTCGTTGTGTTCCTGAATATCTGCCTTCGTAACTACTAAGATATTGTCCAAGTAACAAATAACACCTTCTAATCCTTGTAAAGTACAGTCCATTGCCTTCTGGAGCTCGGTCGGCATATCTGTTAAGCCGTAAAACGCAGTTTTGAATCTATACGTTCCCGTAGCGTTCCCGCACAAGATATTGAAATTACAATGACTACTGGTAAAAGACGATAATGGCAACTGACTGAAAGCGTACTTCAAACCTAATGATGTGAGCCAAACCTTGCCAGATACATCGTTAGTGATGATCTGAGCCACTGAATCGATGAGTTCGTAAATATTTGGCATCTGATACTTGTTTTTCCAGATCTGTGCATTCATCGGCTTGGCAATGAGGGCAACTTTGATTGAGCCATCCTTCTTGGCTGTCAACACGATGGGCGCTATGACGAAATCTGTCGTACATTTATCCACTTTTTCGATGTGACCTTTTTCCACTAACAGCTTGATCTCGTTAGCAACTCTGTCCTGGATATGTATCGGAACTTTACGTCCTTTAACTTGACGCGGTACCAAGGGAATTTAAAGTTTGTGTATACTTTGTGATTCTTGGATCTCCCTAATCGACTAAACACGTGCATATTTACTGTCAAAGAATATTCAGAAATCGGGTCCTGAGATTTAGACTCAAGCAGATGGACGGACTCCGCGCTCAATTGGGGAGTCACCACACCTAGTTGATTTTGCAATTCTAAGCCCAAAATATTTCTGTTCTCAAAATAATTAGTTCTGTTCTCGGAGACGAGGAAATGAGCCTCCTCCACTTTCCAGCCGCTAGAAGAGATCGGAATGCGAATTGATCCAAGAAGACAGTTCGGTTTTTTATTATAATCGACAAATAAAGTATCTATAGAGTATCGTGTGATGTCACGGAAATTGATAGACGGATTACGTTGAAGTAATAAGTCACAAGTGCGTTTGTTAAGGAACGAGACTGGACTCCCCGTGTCAACGGTTGAATAGAAAAACTATGACCAGTACGCAACTGAATACTTCTTGGTTTCCCTTCGTTTGATTTTAGAAGCTCGATACTATTGATCCTGACCGCACTTTCTAACTGCAGAACAGCGTACTCCGGTTTGTTATCATAGTCAGCATCTATAAAATTACAGTCGATGGAGGGATCTGACGCCTCCTCGCTTTCGTGAACCAAATTCACACGTCGTTTTGATGAAACACAACACATGGCAAAGTGACCACGTTTCTTGCAAAGATTACACGTAACTCCGCGAGCTGCACATGATTTTTTGTGATCCGGACTAAAAGGATTACCACAGAAATAGCACGATTTGTTGCCTTTGTTGCTCTGCATGTTTTGTCGATTGGTTTGATTTTGAGGATAATTTTCTTTTCCTCGAGACGACTGAATTGAGAAAGTGGGTTCTTGTTTAACCTTTATAGTATTGGAAAACTGATTGAGTGGAAGTAGTTTTTTGGAGCTGAACGGACGTACTAGCCCCTTTTCACACTCCAGTGCGAGTTTAAAAGTATCATTCAAATCCGCTTTTGCCTTAATTAGTTGTTGCTGGACATCCACATCACGAACTCGTCCAATGAAAAGGTCTTTCAAAGTTTCCCTTTCTTGAGCGTTGGGCCAATTGCACAGGGCAATCTGAGCGCTAAGTCGAGCGTAGAATGAAGAGAAAGTATCATTGTCCAACATGAATATAGTGTTATAGAGCTTAATACGTTCGACAGTATAGTCACGTTCCACCTTGAATAACGTCTCACAAGAATTATGAAAGTCTCGAAAAGGAGTAACACTAAAATCCGTGTGAGGATAAGAATCTGCAAAACGTCTCTTTCCTTCGTTTCCTAATGCAAAAAACAAACGCGACTTCAAACGAGCCTCAGCTTCGTGATAGAACCAGTTCTGGCTAACTCTAGGACCTTTTCTTCTGCGCTCAACATTCAATCCAGTTACTCTACGAACCACCGCTTGATCTCGGAGGACTCGAGCATTCGCCTCCCCAGCGTCTTCTGCATGACATACTGCCTCTGGTTTCGGAGGGGGATCATCGATAATTTCCGTGGGCTCCACTAAAAGATCCTGAGGGTTGATATTGTCCTTTAGACCCACTGCTAGGAAGAATTGTCCTATCCAAGATTTCCAAAGAAACGGCGGACTGACAGATGGTTTCGCCCAAAAGGGAGGAGCTGCGCCGTGACATTTGCCGAGAATTAACGAGTCAAAACTTAGTTGTTCTGTAAGAGTAAATTGATAGATTAGTTGTTTAGATACTTAGTTCCAATTTATTATTTATTAGTCAATCTTTGACCAAGATAATATAGAGTTGAGGAAGAGAATAAATAAACATCTAGCAAACGATGTAGCAAAACAACAGAATGACCACGAACAGCGTGGCACTCAGTATAGGCCATATCAGTGACCTTGAACAGCACTGATAATAAATCTGCAGCATAGCTGCAAAAGGACAAAATGGAACCGACGTACCGAATGTCGCCTCATGACAGTGGTAAAAAAGCATTTCCAAAGCAATTTTTCATTTACCAAGTCTTGTTAGGCTGCTGCGGGTAAAAAGAAATCTTCAAATACACCTATTCTTTTTTTCCATCTAAACAAAAATTCAGAAAAAAGGAAAATAGGAAGCTTCCCGGAATAAAACTATAACTGTGTTGTGAATTGTATTTTTAGTATTTAGATTCATTTGAAGGTCAATCTCTAACTGTTACCTGCCTAAAATATCACATTAAGTCCATTGGAGCTTGTCATTCAGTTGACCTCCATAACTTAAATAGACTTTCGTTATTAATTCAGTTTTCTTATTTTAACTTGTTATTATTAGAAGTTAGACTATTAGAACATTTTATTCAACTGTTGTATAAGGAACTGTTTTCAAATGTGCGATTATCCTTTCACCAGTCTGTGTCTCTCAGAGCGGAGCTGAAGTCGAGTATTTCCACGCCCTCTAATCCCACCTGCTGCCGACTGAACACCACAAATGAAGCGAGGTCACTCTTATTCGTGCAGAGGTTACACACATCGAGAGATAGATATGCCAAAATAAGCTATCAAGTGAAACGGCCACCCGAAGAACTGTTGTTTATTTAAGACCCCCCACCCACCAACCCCTCCTGCCAGCTAATCGTCCACAAACGCCATTTAAACTATTTCTCTGAATTCATTTTTGGCCGCAATAACACTTCATACTTTTATATTACCACTTTTTAAGACCCTGCGACGTTTAAGTTTGCTCGTTTTTTAGAAAATTTATCAGGTTTTTGTTTTAACTGTCATTTGATCTTCGAAAACTAAATGAACATTGTCCAATTACTGAATAGCTTTGAGGTTTGATTTTTTTAGTTTGAAAAACTGAAATATATTTTTTTTAATTTTACACATGTGATGAACAGGTTTTTTTTAGTTCGAAAAATGTATCAAAACGGGTGGCTTTTTTGGAGCTAATTTTGATCTGGTTTTGATGGAACCCCCGCCTTCAACCACTCCTTGAGTTCCCTCAGTTGGTATTTGTTCAGATGTGTGGCCACTTTGAGACACACTGACTTGCTGCACTCCTTCGACTCCGCCCATTCCTTCACTTCAGTATCCACTACTGTCTCTCCTTCCATGGCCACTATAAGCAAGTATGACCCTGTCTACACCTCTTTTGTCATGTATGGCTCTGCAGTCTCCTCTTCGGATGTATGACCCAACACTTTCACTCAAACAGTGGCCCAAACTCTCTCTCTGATGTATGGTCTTTTGATATATTTGGCTCAAAATGATTATGGAGTGATTGCCCAGAATATTCAGCTTGATCTACTTTACATTTTCAAAATATTTCAGGGCCCTTATTGAATTACATGCTCATACTTTGTGTTTGAACACATTCGCTTAGGTTTCAGTGGGGGGGGGGGGGGGGTTGGGGTAAAATGTAAAGTAGAGTTAGTTTTTAGTGCTATCAAGTAAAACTGAAAACTAGAGACAGGTTTGAGCAAAATTTCAAGATGCCATTTATACTGCTGCATGATTTTGATTTTCTTTTCTTCGGCGGATGGAATCGGACAGGGGGAGCTTATTCCTCATTTTAAAACATTAGAACTCGAAAGCTTCACCCATCAAAAAAATTATCGCTGGAAAAATGTAATTTGATTATCAAAACAACCCAAAAGATGTCCACAAACATAAAATTTTTGTTCATCGCAAAAACGCTAGGTTTGCATCGGGTAGGCTCAAAAGTTCTATCAGAAGGCTCAATTCAGTAGGCTCAAAAGTTTTTTTTTACAAGGTTTTTGGGTACAACCGGGTAATGAAACCACGTTTTAGAAAATTATTTTTAAAGTCTCTTAGAATTTCTACGGCATCTTAAAGAGTTGCTTCAATCACAAGCGTAATTGGTGAGACAAGAAATGATCAGTTTGTGTTAATATTAAGGTAAAAATGACCAGTGACCTGTAAACTTACAAATTTAATCTGAATGAAAAGATAGCAATAGGTCTGTTGTTTAAAGCATATTGCTATCAGTCTTGATAATCTCTGGTCAGTCCTGATAAATTATTTGCCTATTATTCTGACATCAATTTAGCTTAATGAGATGAGATGAGAAAGTTTTCCAATGGATGATTGTCCAGAGATAACATTGAAAGACAGGAACTTTGTTGTAAGTCATGAAACGCAACCCCGGTTGAAATGATCGAATTATGTATCGAACGTATGGGTCAACTGAATATCCACTTGTCCATCTAAATTATCTAGGTCGACAAAAATTGTCGATCAAACAAGGTCGAAACATCAAACAACCAGCTTACAAAACAATCCACGTTTTGTAAATTGCTGCCAATAAAAAATCCTAAGAGCTGAGATGTCTGGTCACTTTCTGTTTCATCTAAACAAAAAAATTTAACAAAGAAACAAAAACTTTTGAGGATATTTTTTGATAATAATTAGCTCATCCGATTGGAGCATTAATCTAAAACAGTGTGATAACATTTTGATGAAAAAAAAATCAAATCATAAGAAAATGATGAAAAAAATTAAGAAAAAACTTTTCAAAACCTAATCAAATCAAAACTGCATGCGAGGTCGACGAGATCTAGGAAAATGATGTCAACCAAAACTGACTACGCTTGAGATAAAGCTTTCTGTTTGAAATGACCGAAAGTGGCTCAAAATCTTTTTTTTTTATCAAAAATTTGTTATATATTGACCAACACTTACTCATTTTGTTTCAGTTTTAATTTTACATTATGGATTTGTTTTAGTTTTCTTACCGCCAGCAATTCAAAATCCATTCTTAGACAAACAGTGTGTTAAAGAAACACCTTTTTTTTTAAGTTCCTCTCCAAGTTTGCTGATACTTGAGTTGAAGAATTCATTTTTTTTTTGCAATAAACAGTAAGAAATTGGCCAAATTCTGATGATTCATTTTTTGAGTTGAATTGTTTTGCCGTTTTTGTTCGTATTTTTTATCGCAATTAGGAAGAAGAAGAATTTTTCTCTGGTATATGCTAACATCGGATAAGTTTGAACAAAATTTATACATAATGCAACACAGAGGACAGCTGTCGGATTCATGAGAATCTTGTGCTCTGCTACCCTAGTCTTAAGTTAGCATCCTGACGGGTGAATTTTTATTTGAAATATTAATTTTCGGTTTCATCAGAACATTTCACCAAATTTTAGATGAAAAATGGATAAGTTTTTTTTTGCGGTTTAATTTAGCCTAAGTTGGAAACCAAAGAAGTTTAAGTGGATTTTAGAAAAACTCTAAATAAGGGGTAGATTCTCCCTGCATTGAGCCTTTCGTGCTCCTTTAAAAAGTTTTAATGATAATTTATTTTAAGATTAATGGATGCACTATTTCTTCGAAATTTTAATCAAAAATCTAAGTTGACGAAGAGTCCGTCGTACTAAAACTCCGGGAATTAAGTCAAAAACTCTTTAAACCCTAGAGCAACCATGAGGTGGTATAGGGACAGGTGGTTGTATTAACTTAGTTCCATCAAACCAAATTAAATTGGTAGATCCCCTTTGAGATACTGAAAAATAAGTCGGGCCAGTTTTTCATTATTTACAATATAAAAATCTCCTATTGAAAGAGCTATAATTTGGATTTCAGAATGAGAAAATGCAACTTTAATCAAAGGGAAAACATTCTTCTTTTTCAAAACGTTAACCATATTTCATTGCCTTTTAAGCCTAAAATACTCTTTCAGTTCTGGTTGAAAATGACTGATTGATGTTAACAAAATTGAACATTTCTAATGTTTTTTTTTCTGAAATTAGATTAAATTCGGGCAACTAAGGATGAAAAAAGTTGGTAGAACTGTACGAGCTTAGTCAGCGCAAAAAGCAGTAAAATTTCGATAAGCGAGAAACAATTTGGCGAACCTTTAGCGATCCATTTCAGTTAAAATTGTCATCAGAATCGGAAAAATTTTCCTGCTCATTGCAAAAAAAAGTGATTCATTAATTTAGTAACCAATGAAATGAGAGAGGATATATAAGCAACCTATTTACAAAACATCCGTAGTTTGAAAATATAAACCGAGTTATGAGTAATACGTCACAAATCAAAATTGGACATCAGAGAATAGAATTCACCTCTTATTGAAACCTGATTAAAAGTTTAAACTGATTAGATCTTGGTCTATTATTTTAAATCCTAAATTTAAGTTAAATGCAATCCAGATAAATTGAACAGTTTTTTTTGTTAACGTTACTTGAGTTAGTTCGATGAGAAAAATTACTACCGTTGAACGTACATACGTACATCAAAAACTGTGACCTGTTGAGGAAGTTACAGGTACAAAATGAAGCAAGACTGCTCGTATCAGACAGGGCGAAGCCCTGAGAATCCGGGTTGCGCTCTAAGGTCTATGGAGTAGTGCTTGCTTTAAAAAAATTTGACGAGTTTATTAGTTCTCTTTTTACACCACACGCCATACAAAAGGAAAAAATATGTAAATCTCAGGTAGCAAACTAGTAAATAGACCAAACCGCATGCCTCAATTCAAACTGGAATGACTTCTCAAACAGAGCAAAGTTTCGCCTGCTAGTTAATAGCATAAAGTATATCGCGCATTATTTGTTCAAAAAGAATCAAAAAACAATCTTCAAACGTCCATGATTTTACAAAAAATTCAGAGAGGAAATGTTTTTCAAATTAAGCTCAAGACAACATCACTTCTCGAATTTTAAAAAACTTCAGTCAAAAAATTCCAGTTTAAAAGACGAAGTTTTTCTGGAGGAAAAAAACCACTCGACCACAAATAATTTTTGTTCAAAATTTGTAACAATGAGCTGTTAGCCTAACTTGTAATAAATAAATCAAATTATAAAATGTAATTCAGAATTGGTTCACCGTATGTTTTTCAATGATAATAAAAAAATTTTGATCAAAATACTTTTAGTAGCAGTACATTTTTGTTGGAAAATTTTTACACATTAGGAAAATTTTTATTTTGTTGGACCGTTGCGGCTCGAAATTGAGTTTTAATCATTAATTATACCCAGATAGCATCAATGATTTTCAAAATGCATCAAAACCATTTGTGAAAAATTGTCAAAAATTCAAATTTTTCAACAAAAAAACACCACAAAAAATTTGCTTTTGCCAAAAGTCTTTTTTTTGCGACAATTTTCCTTGAAAACAATCAAAAAATAGATGTCAGAGTAGTATTACAATACCGCCTTTTTAGAAGTTTTTGTTGACCAGCACCTTGTGGGGAGAATCAGCTTGGAAACTTCTGTTTGATTTGAAAAACATAGTCACAAAATGACTGTTTTGACGTCAGAAGGTAGTTTAGAGAAAACTATATAGCAAAAGTAACAAAATTTTATTCAGTTAAAGCCTTGTTATGAACAATTTAACCGTTAAGCTTTCCAGAAACTTGTCTTTTGTTAGACAAGTCTTTTGTTAGAACAGATGTGTTTTTTATTTCAAAATTTACACGAGGCAAAAAAGCGAGAAAATGATCTTCAAAAAAAGAACACTGAGACGGAGCAATGAGACTGTTGTCAGTATTTGAGTACGCCCGACTAATCAAAAAAAAAAGAATTGCAGAAAAAAAGAAATTGGAAGAGAGTTACAAGTTTAGTTCTACACAAAAAGTATTCGAATTGAAAAAAGAAATTGCAGTGTTTTCTAAATCACCTAAAACTTGGTTGCTTAGTTAAACATATAATTAAATTACTCTCTAAAATCAAACCATTTGTTTTGCGCACTTTAAAAAAGGCCTAAGTCTAGTTGGAAACAGAATAATTAGTTGATGGAGAAGTTTTCAATTTTTATTATTATTCAAAAAAATTCTTTTTTCTACAGTTTTTAACTCTTAATTTCATTTTCTGGTTTATAAGCATTACTTGATAACTATGATGAAATGAGATTTTGAATGCTAGTTTTTGCTTTTGTCTCGTTTTCTTTTCCTGCGACTATTATCCTTGAAAATTAGTAAATTTATGATTAAAAGAGTAGAATTATCATATGTCATTCGTGATAAATTTTTTGTTCACAAACATTAGAGTGCCAAACTGTGCATTTTGATAGTTGGTAGTTGATTTTGCAACAAGGACGCTCCCTTTGTTCTTCTTTTATTCTCTGATCCCTTTGTTCTCTTTCCTTATCTTTGATCATTTTGACAAAACTTTCACATGTTGAAAGACTTGTCTCTGGAATCCATGAGCAAACAAAAACAAAAGTGTGCACCAATTCAGTGCACAGTTTGGCCTAGTAATGTACAAATTGAGGAAAAAATATTAGAAACTTTTAGCCTGATCAGGCCTGAAAAAACGACAAAAATTTCGAAACTTTTTCGAAAATCCGCCCCCCCCCCTCGAGAAAATCCTAGATCCGCCCATGCCTGAATTCAAGCCTTGTCATCATTTCTTTTTTATGTTGAGCATTCCAAAAACTTGTATTTTATTAGACTACCGTCAATTTTTGAAGCTGAGAAAACATTCATTTTTATTTTTTATTTCAACATGTCAAACAATTTGCAAAAAGTTCAACGGTTTTTTGAAACGAACTCCAAAAAAGGAACTCCAAAAAAGGTTGTTTGAAACTAACTCAAAAAAGGAAAGACTCACACTACTCTTCCATGAATAAATATATAAGCACAAGTATCTTTAGTCAAAAATTTTAAGTTATTTGGTTTGGAATCAACATCTAGATTTTCTTTAATTTCATTTCCAAATCTCTTCTGTAAATCCAGCTGAGTAATCACACCTGGCTGACTATATCTGGTTCCAATCAGAAACAGCTCATTAAAAAATAATCAAATCAAACAAATCATTCTTCATACAGCAATTTATTTGAGTCAACTTGTGGCTATGCTAACTTTTCCTTGTTTTTAGTACCAATCAAACAAATCATTCTTCATACTGCAATTTATTTGAGTCAACTTGTGGCTATGCTAACTTTTCCTTGTTTTTAGTACCAATCAAACAAATCATTCTTCATACTGCAATTTATTTGAGTCAACTTGTGGCTATGCTAACTTTTCCTTGTTTTTAGTACCAATCAAGCTCATTATTTTTCTGGTCAGCTCAATAATTTTTGGTTTAAACTTTTTTAGTGATTTTGAAAAACAGCTTCGAATGAATGATTGCATTTTTAAAAAAAAACTTATTTGCACCAATTTACTCGATAGAAATTGAGCTTTATTGAGAAGTGAGGAGAAGGCAGCTGCTTTCTGATTGGCTGCGATGACTGGCTGCCCTGTTGGTCTGCTGAGATGTAACATGCGTCTTCTCTCTTTTTGGATGGTGGTGGTTGCTTCTTCTGGCCTCCATTGCGATGGCATCATACAGTCATTCCTCTGCTCCGACAATGTTCGACTGACGTATACATTGGCCTACAGGTAAGAGACAGATTCTATTTCAGAGATATTTAAACCAGTAGAAGCCCCGTGTTATAGCCTGTGAGAAAACTAACTTCTGAGAGCATAGATGGTATGAGGAAAGTAAGTCTAAACAGTTTTTTCAGATCAAGCAGTTTTTCTAATCAAGCGAACTCCGGTTGATTAACTCGAAACTCAAGACGATTTGGATTTATTCAATTCATTTACGATTCAAAAATGAATCGAAGTTGCCACTACTTCTACTAAAAGCGCAACAAGACAAAAACACCGTACCCGGGTTGACCAAAAATGCTCATCATACAATTCTCATAAATGGGAAATTTCTTTTCATACAAATTCATACTATTCCATACGTACAGAAAATTGTATGAAAACTTTATAATAAGCATTTTCCCAGAAATGGAAATTTTATGATAGGTGTTTTCTCCATAAACCAAAAAGTTGTTTTTTGTTCATAAATTATTTTCTGAAAAACTTTTGGGCTGTGTTTGCATCCGAACACAAGTTACAAAGACCTTGATTACTCAAAGCACCAAAGGTTGGACGGTCTTACATTAACTCTGCAGAAAAAACTACCAGTATTGTCCGGTGTGATTTTATCCTGGGGGATTTTATCCTGGGGGATTTAGTCCTCGAGCGGTCTTCCTGATGTCTTTCACAAATGATATAACAGAAGTAACAAAATGCTTTTAATTTTTGGCAAAATTTTTGAGTGATGATTATTTTAAATTTTTGAATTTTCAAATTATCAGACATTGATCAAGGCATACATAAACACGCCACAAAAGAAATAGGAATTTTCAGCGTTTTTGAAAAAAAAAGTTTTGAGTGAAAAGTAAAAAAAGCCAATACTATCGTATCCAGGACTACGTTATGTACACAAAAAATTGTATTAAATTTTTGTTATTTGGAATTGTATGATAAGCATTTTCGGTGTATGGAGGTCAACCCAAGTACTTTGTTATTCTTAAACTTAGTTATTAATAAAATTGAACGATAATTCATTTCAAGATGAGTTGGTTCTTTCTTACTTTTTCCCCCGAAAATGAAAACACACAAGCATGTTTGCTTCAATCGACTTTCAGTTTGTCCCATTTTTTGAAGTGAACTCGCTAAACATTTTGACAGTTTTCCGCCCACCGGCAATATCGATTACGAAGAAATATCACACTCAAAAAGTGATCACAGTCGCAACTTCTTTTCGACAGCGAAACTGAGAGATCAATTTTTGCACAGCAGCATATAAAAATGTTTTCCCAAACTGTAATCATACCCGAATAAATCTAAGGGATTTTTCTCAGAGGCTTGAATTCAAAACTGTACCCTGTTTTTTAATATTTTACAGCAAAAGTTTTTTGGCTGACCGAACCTAAATTTTTTCTTAAACTTTTTTGGGCACCAATCTGGAGGGGACTGCGCGCTTTTCTTTCAAAATCTTTAAGCACAGTGTCTAATAACGTCAACTTTGTTGTGTTTTTTTTCCTGCGGCATTTTGATTTGGCTTTCATAGACAGCAGAATAAAACCTAAAAATCATTATCAGAAAAGATCGAAAAAAACAAGAAATATCTATGAACAAATTTTGAAAATCAGTGAAAGAAAATTCTAGATCTTTCCTTAGATTGTAAAAAAGGGTCCAGAGATCTATACAAAAAGCAACTAAATAAAATTTTAAGGAAACTTTCAGCAATAAATGCAAGTTTAGGTGCGATAAGATCCAATAGTTCGTATGTAAATCAAATAGTGAAGGCATTAAGCCACGAAAGAAGAAAACAGACAAAATGTAAAAACTCTCACCATCAAAAACTTTCAAACAATTGAAAGGTTTCTTGGGCTCAATACACCATCTCACAAGATAAACACCAATTTCAGCAAAACGAGCTTAAGCACTAAAACCACTCTCAAAAAAAACACCAACAAACACAAAAAACACTAGATTGGAAACCGGATCCTAAAACCGCTTTCAATTAAAAATTAGAACTCGTATCTGAAACAACTGAAAACGAACTTTTCAATCAAAACTTAGATGCCCGCGTAGTCTACGACCCATCGGCATTTGGTTTACGAGCCGCACTTCAGCATTTTCCAGAAGAAAGTTGGGTAGACTTAGCATACGCTTCGAGATTCTTAACATCACTAGAGGTAAAATGATCCGTAATTGAATTATAAGTGCTGGGGGTCGTATGGGCAGTAGAGCACTTCAAATACTTCTTATACGGGACAACCTTCACACTCATCACAGATCATCAAGCTTCAATCAGCGCAGTAAACAACAGTGAAAGATCAAAAACCAGCAAAAGCAGGCTCACTACACGGATCGATCGATTGATCTCATTCATTTTTGACAGGAAACACTTATCGGGGAGAAAAATGGGTTTAATGGGCAATTCTACGCAAACTAGCCAATCAGAGTCGAACACCGAACCGACTAATCAAAACGCGGGCGGAAAAATAGAGGAAACGAACTACTCAATTGCTTTTTCAAGCGCATTTCGAACAATTCAGTCATGCCACATGCGGGTAGAAAAAACGAAACAAATTGATAACTTAACCCAACTCAGACTCAAAAATCAGCTATCTACAGAAAAAAACGCAGGAACAATGAACTTATCAATGTCCCAATTATTAATATGAATCAAAAATAGAATAACAAGGGATTCAAGGGAAGATTCATCCCAAATACGGCAAGAACAGGAGGCAGAGGAAAACAAAAGCAACCACAGACACCACGCGGAAGGAAGAAAACCAGAAATAATTTCAAAAGGAGTGTCAGACAGGAAAGACAGTTTTTAAGACCCAAAATGGCACTGCCGAACAATCACAACAACATATTGTCATCACAACTAGAAATTGTCATCACAACTAGAAATTGTCATCACAACCAATCTCGACAAAACCTGTACTGAAAACACAAGATACAGGAGACACAAAAAATTGTGTAAAGACTCAAAAATTCCCAAAATTTGTCTTTTTGGAAAACCCGATCAGCCCGGTCAGCGATATAGATGACGAGAGAACACAAATACGACCTACGCAAAAAGCCAAAAGGAAAAATTCCTCAGCTACACAAACGACCACAAAACAGACAAAGTCACAAACACAAACAATTGAAATTAAGTCACAACATCAAGACGTAGATTCTGAAACAGAATTGACGAGCAATAGGTATACCGTGTGAGTCGAGTAGACCCGACCCAACAACACACAGAAGAGACGACCTCAAACGAAGCAGCACCAACAATTAGGTACCACACTCACCAACTCAAAGCCAGCCACGAAATGATTGTAGCGGTGGAACTTAACACACTCACCTCGAAATGTTTTAGGACTAACTTAAGGGACACTCCACCCCACCCCAACCCCTCCCGATTATTCAATTTTATTTTGCGATTACAAAATAGGGCCGGGCCGGCTGTACAGTGCATTGTTTGATGCACAGTTTCAACAATGTCAATGCATGTATATGTTGCACGCATATATATGCGACGACGAAAAACGACAAGAAATTGGAAAATTTTCAAGAAGGAAAGAATTGAATTGAACTAAACTCATGAATACGAAAACTTGGAAATATTATTCTCGAAAACTGTTTTTAGCTCTTGAAACAAAATAAGAAAACTAATTAAAAGTAAAAACTTGAGATAAAACAGATTCCAAATAATTCGAGTTTACACCTTTTGTTTCAGCATCCCCACCCTTAAAGAATGGGGTTTGACGAAGACCGAGTGTTTCGACCGCTTGTACAAATTCAGTGACTTCGCCCAAAGCATAGTTTACTGTCCCGCCCACCATTTCTGTGGCACAAACATAACCGTCAATTTCCTAAACAGTTTCCGTAAGTCACAAGTTTTCTCTACGTTCCTGCTCACATTTACGACAACAAATGCTATTTATTCTGCCAGTTTAATTGTTTCTGCGCCTTTGAAATGTATGAGGCCACGGGTCGCGTTGGTAATTTTACGTTCAGATTTATGTTCAGAGTCCAAAAAAAAATGTTCCTGTTTCTACTAAGTCTGAATGTCCAAATATAGTTCGAATAAACACCCTGTTGTACTCTTTTCCAGATGTACTCTTTTCCTTTCAGCTTCTGTGACCAAAAGCGACATGCGGGAGTGCAATGTGTACGCCACTTCAATCTGGGGTTGCGAAGAGATAGAGAAACTAATCCAGGACAGCGAAGTGAACGAGTGTGCCAAACTCATGCAGGGCTGTGGTCCCTGTGAGAACTTCGTGGGGGGATACTGGTGCAACTGTGTCACTGGCTTCCAGCCGGACTTTGCCGAGCAGAACTGTCTAGACGTTGACGAGTGTCTTGAGGACCCTTGCGACATCAATGGTTATATACCAAACTCATTACCAATGGTTATATACCAATCGCACATGATTTAGAAAATTTTTTTTTTCACTCCGGAAGAACTTTGTCTTCAGCGCATTACAAAATATTACGCAACCTTTTTCAGCGAATCTTCGAGATGTTACAAAAATTGCTCATATTGTTTCGGATAGCATGATTTGGGATGCTATGGGCTGACACCGGGAACATCTAATGAAATAGAGCCAATCATTTTGTTATTTGAGACTGCCCTAATTGTGTTTTGAATGGAGGGTTTGATGACGTGAGATGGATCACCGCCCTGTTGAAACCAAAGGGGAGCAAGTTTCTGAAAAGCGTCCGGTCGCTTTAATTATATCCCCCTTTTGCAAGTTTGAGAATCTAAACAATTACTAGCATTCGTTATTATGTTTAAGAATCTCATATGCTTAATCGTTGCTTTATTTCTTTATAGGGGGGATATTCCTTAACTATATTTACCCGAGGAGGGATGTAGCAAAAGAGATGCAACCGTCCTAAGAAGTGGCATTTATTCACACTGATTGAACAAATACTTCTTCTCTAGGCTATTGTGAGAACAACGTGGGATCCTTCGAGTGCTTCTGCAACCAGGGCTACCAGGGAAATGGGTTCAACTGTTCCGACTTCGACGAGTGTGTGCTGAGCGAGTCCTGTCACTGGAGGGCCCACTGCACCAACCATCCAGGCACCCACAGCTGTGCCTGTTTCGCAGGGTTCGAAGGCGACCAATGTGTGGATTTAGACGAATGTGAATTGGGCCAAGATAACTGCAACCCCAATAATTCTTTGTACGCTATCATTTCAATAATTGTTGAAAGCCACTTAGCGTTTAAGTCAGGTAAGAACCAGGAGTTTTTCAACAAAAAATAAAAATTAGATACAGATATTTTTCATCGAATAACTTTTTGGTCGATGTACTTTTCTATGAAAAAAAATAGTCTTCGGAAATCGCTCTTTCATTCAATTTCAATGAGAATGAACCAAAGTTACAAGAACGGTATTAAAAGTTCACTGATATCAGTGTCTTTTTCCGTCGCTCTTTTCCGTCAAAATTTTACAAAAAAGTAGGGATAATTATTTACCACAATAATACATTAATTGTTTGGCTCTTTTGCACCCCCCTCGCCATCCGAAAGTTTTAATTGCATAGTTGTTTTACGGTTTTACGTGTTATGGCTAAATCAGTGACTTTACGATGTAACATATAAAAAAATGTGTTCACAATAGTTAGTTTGTTCACCATGCCAAATTTCATTGCATTATGTAAAGCTATTTTGAACTTAGTTTCAAATGTGGGGGAGGGAGTACAAACGAGCCAAATATTTTGGCACGCATCATGCCTTGTTTCAGCTGCCTCAACACAGATGGTTCCTTCGACTGCTCATGCATGGCCGGTTTCTTCAAGAACGACCTGGGGTCCTGCGACGAGCAGAACGAGTGTCTCCTCCCCGAGAACAGCTGTCCCCGCAACTCGGACTGTCTGGACCTGGTGGGGGACTACGGGTGCAGATGTCACGAGGGGTGGAAGGGAAACAAGCTGGGCTGTGTGGACATTGATGAGTGCTTCGAACTGGAGGATAATCCCTGTGGCGAACAAGCCAAGTATGCCAGAAACTTATATTTCATTCAGATTTGTGCAACATCGACAAAAGAATCCGGTGGTAGATTGTGAGGTGGTGCGGAGGGGGGAGGGGGGGGGGAGGCGTTGCTTCTGTTTTTTCTTATAAGAACAGTTAAATACTTGTTAAAGTTTTCCGTATTTTATAATATTTTGAAACTTTTGAAACTGAAAATATATTATCGCGAGTTAGGGGCTTGCTGTCAATAGCTAACAAATTTGCTGTTTTTTCATTTTGCTTTTTACAATTAACTCTTTCTTTTGATTCGCATTTGTCGCCAAAAAAGTCTAACTAATTAATTTTAAAAAAGTGTAAGTGAATAGTTTTTATAAATGAATGGGCGCACTTTTTATCCAGGTGCAACAACTCAGTGTTTCCGTATGAGTGCAAATGCTTTGAGGGGTTTGGCCCAGAACAACCCTGTCCAGATATCGACGAATGCCAGCTTGAAATGGTATGTTCCAATATCATTACTACCCACAGTCTTGCAATTACTAATTATAGCAAAATAAAGTCTCTCAAATACAAATTTAAGTTAACAAAGTCTTCTTTTTTGTTTCAGTGTCATCCCAGCGCCGATTGTACCAATTCGCGGGGTAATTTTACATCTTAAGATATTCAAACTTCAAAACGTTAAAGAAGACTAAACTTTACCTAGTCTGTGAATCGGCCGTGTTTGGAATTTCTTCATGATTTTCATATGTAGCATTTCTTTTTTTTCCGACTTTCGTAATAAAAGTAACGGAATATTTGTGCTCGGGTTGGTTTTTTTGCTCCAGACGATTTTTTTCAACTTGCCGTTTTGACGGAATTTGTCGAAAGGTATTGTTGTCCAGAGCTTAAAATTGAAAAAATAATTCACCTGCGATCATTTTTTTCAAAGGTATAGGGGTTTAAAGATTGCCATTTTGGCCGATTAGGGACAATTGACGCGCGATATATTTCGCGTTATTAACGCGTATGCGGAGATTTAATCCGTCTTAGAAATCGTTTCAAATTGATTTGTTAATGGGAGCGAAATCGACTACTTTGTACTTTATATGGCGTATGGGAGGATGATTTTAACAAATTCCTTTTATTTTTTTATACATTTAATTTTTTGATGTTATTACTGCTCGATAGACCTTAAAAGGCAGTCGGAACATTCAGGGTTTTGCCCTGATACGAGCAGCTTTGTTAATATATTGTCTTTTTTCATAATATACAGGCCGTAGATCAGAACAAACATTTTGCAAACCCTTGTTTTGGAAGTAGATTCGAAGAAGACTGCTCGTATGGGAAATTTCTCGAACTATCAGCTGTCCTTCAATTTTGATGAAGTAGTTGTTCAGTGAAAAAATTGAGCAATTGCACAAAAAATAGAAATTTCGATTTTTCGTTAGAAAACGGAATAGTTAAGCTCTGAGGTCTTTTTTGGTCAATTTTCACCAATCAAAATAATAGCTTTCTTTTCAATCAACACTTTTAATACCCCATTGAGGATGTCGACTTCTTGAGTTCTGGTGGTTTGAAAATTGCCAAATTGGCCACGTTCTGGACAAAATTATGAGCTATTTGAAGAATTTATTCTTAATGCTGAGAGCGTAACGTTTTTTTTTTATGTGTGGAAAAATACCCCGCACCACAAACTTGTTCCAAAGTGAATTGAGGCTAGCTAATTGGTCGTATTTTTTCGTAGAACTCAAAATTTCTTATTTTGATATTGTCCAAAATGTATAGGTTTTCAGTATTTCCCCAAAAAAAACTAAAAGATATGATTTAGGGGGCAGACGGAACATTCAAGACTTTGCCCTGATAAAAGAGAAATTTAGTTTGTATTTTGTCTTCTTTTTATCGCACAATGCGCTATGTTTAGTGTTTTCGCTTGTTACAAATTGCTGTCTCACGATTGATAAGAACGAATCGCTTGCCTCAATTCCATCTGGAATGATTTTGTAGCCGTTTGAAGTCACTGCTTACGCTTTAGAAACTTGAAATCTAAGAGCGTCCTAATTGTCCAAAGTTGGAGTTTTTACATCTTTTTTCTAAGAAATTGTTTGCAAACGTTTTTTTGAGCTCATAGAGTTTGTCTTTCGAAATTCTCAAACTGTTCCAGCTAAAAAGTCAAAATTTAGTTAAGAATCGAAAATTCATTGGAAAAATTTATCAAATACAAAACAAAAAACTGTGCTTGTTGCAATTTTTTCTGCCAAAAAAATTCGGTTTATCAACCAACCATTTTTGACAAACTTTTTAAAACCAACGGAAAGTCTCAATGCCCTGCGCTCCAAAATTCTTGTAAAGTTTGGGTCATTTAACGCGCAATGTGATCGATCGAACTGATATCAGCTAAGTGATAAATTCACCTTGCTTTTATATTGTTAATAGCGCGAAACATATCGCGCTGTTAATTATCCCAAACTGGCCAAAATGGCAATCTTTAAACCACAATAATTTTGCTAAAAATGATCACAGGTGAAATATATTTTCAAATTTAAGCTCCGGACAACAATACTTTTATAAGAAAGTTTAGTCAAAAATGGCTAACTAAAAAGTCGACATTTGTCTGAAGAAAAAAACCACTCCGAGCACAAATATTCCTTTACTTTCGTTATGAAAGTCGTAACTATTTTTTTTTATTCGAGTAATCTGCTATCAACTGGTTCCTGAAATTTTATTAGTACACCTCCCTTCTCCTAACCCCCGCCCACCCGCACCCAAACACAAACACAAACACTCAAAATGTTTTTGAAAATTAGAAACAAAAGTTGATCTTTTTTATTTGATTTTTTTTTGGTGAGATAGATATGCCAAAACTTTCTGTACCATTTGCACAGCAGTTGGTTAGCCTTGTTCGTTCACACATTTGCCACTTATACGAATGTGTGTTGAAGGGAGCTTTATGTGTGACTGTGCCATTGGCTACGTGGAGTTGGGAGACCCAGAAGATCCCCCCGAGAACAAAAAGTGCGAGCCACCTCGTGAGTACGCCGATGACAACAGTCACATCAACATCTATCTGGAAATAAAACTTCAAGTTCAAATTTTGTTTTTTTAAAATAATTTTTCTCTTTCGAGAGAGAATATTCAGTAGAGTGATCAACTTAATTATAGAACAAATTGGGAATTGAAGAAAACCAAAAATAGAAAAAGCAAACTATTTTCTGCTCTGCTAGAAAGTGTTCTTGCATGCGGCAGTTTAAGCAAATATGTTTAATAGAGAGAAAACTTTACTGAGTGATTTGGTTTCTTTTTCTTCCGCTAGCGTACTTCTTCGATGAGGTGAAATACAGGAACCGTGAGCTGGAAAGGGGGGTGCACATCACGACACTGCAGCCGACTGCGGAGGACTCGTCCGAAGGACTGCACTTGCTGCACTTCTACACTCTCCCACCCCTCACAGACGACAAATACTTCGTCCGGCTCCAGGTCTACACCGGCACATACCACTACAGGTACCCTGCAACAGTCTTTCTCGGAGGGGGGAGGCATTGGATGTTATTGTTTTCGAATTTCCTCGAAAACCCTATGATGATTCAGTTTTTCCCAAAAAAATTCGCCCTCAGGCGAGCTTATGAACAAACTGTTGAAAAATGACGTTTTGTGGATTTTTTGATAAAATGTTGACAAACAAATCAGGTTTTTCTAAAGCGAACCACCCCCTTAAATTTAGTGTGCCAAAGACGACATTAGACATTCTTTGAGGTTGTTCAATCAATAATTGGTGTCGAATCAATCCTGGTCAACCAAAAACTCGGAAAAAATGGCAATCAGAATTGAGGTCGTATTTAAAAATTTTTGAAAAAGTTTGTATACTTGTTTTAGGGCGACCAAACTGATTTTCCGAACGCTCCCAGAACATAAACTCTCAATTTTGTCAATTTTTTTCTTGAATAGTACCAAAGGGGAGACCCTTTGGGTCGGCAGGGGGTCGAATCCCTAAGAGAAAAAGGAAGGCGTCCGCCCCATAACCCCGGCTATTTTTGTGACTGAGAATTGCTGCTTCGCCCTCACTTAACGAGCTCGGATCTTTGTGATCATCGAACTCCGCACCGGCCTTTCGATTGAATTGCGATGACCTTGTCACTTCACTGCATCTTCTTTTAGTTCTTCTACCACCAAAATACCCTTGAGCTGATACAGTCTTGGCAAAATTTGACCTTCTGTGTGTTATGTAGGAGGCTCATCAGGTCGTGGCCCACTAAGAGGTACTGGAGCAACACTTTCGATGTGTTCCTCATTGTGCCTTTTGGGGAGGAAATTGAGGACAACTTGGAACTGGAGAACAACAGAACCGATCTGTTCCAACTCAGAAATGGACAGTCCGACTTCTACGCCTGCTCGGCCGACTGTTCTCTAAGGTCAGTCCAATCTCTTCCGGTCTCTTTAGTTTTATTCTTTTCTTCCACTTTCTACTTGTTTTGTTAAGAAAATGAAATACATTCTTGGCAGATTGCATGTATATATTACATTGATTCCGGATTGGTAGAAACTATTTTGAATTCTTACTTTGAGTTTCGATCCTTATTCTATTTCTCCGAAGGTCAGTTTTTTGTAGTTGTTCCTGCGAGACAATTTTCTATCACTTGACCCATTTTTTTGTATTTTTACCAGGGTTTCGACTTCAACAAACTTCAAATAGGCTTCAAGTTCGTAATAGTGGGGTTTAGTTTAATTGGCTTCAAGTTCGTAATAGTGGGGTTTAGTTTAATTGGCTTCAATTTCCTATAGTGGGGTTTAGTTTAATTGGCTTCAAGTTCGTAATAGTGGGGTTTAGTTTAATTGCCTTCAAGTTCGTAATAGTGGGGTTTAGTTTAATTGGCTTCAAGTTCGTAATAGTGGGATTTAGTTTAATTGCCTTCAAGTTCGTAATAGTGGGGTTTAGTTTAATTGCCTTCAAGTTCGTAATAGTGGGGTTTAGTTTAATTGCCTTCAAGTTCGTAATAGTGCGGTTTAGTTTAATTGGCTTCAAGTTCGTAATAGTGGGGTTTAGTTTAATTGGCTTCAAGTTCGTAATAGTGGGGTTTAGTTTAATTGGCTTCAAGTTCGTAATAGTGGGGTTTAGTTTAATTGGCTTCAAGTTCGTAATAGTGCGGTTTAGTTTAATTGCCTTCAAGTTCGTAATAGTGCGGTTTAGTTTAATTGCCTTCAAGTTCGTAATAGTGCGGTTTAGTTTAATTGGCTTCAAGTTCGTAATAGTGGGGTTTAATTTAATTGGCTTCAAGTTCGTAATAGTGGGATTTAGTTTAATTGCCTTCAAGTTCGTAATAGTGGGGTTTAGTTTAATTGGCTTCAAGTTCGTAATAGTGGGGTTTAGTTTAATTGCCTTCAAGTTCGTAATAGTGCGGTTTAGTTTAATTGGCTTCAAGTTCGTAATAGTGGGGTTTAGTTTAATTGGCTTCAAGTTCGTAATAGTGGGGTTTAGTTTAATTGGCTTCAAGTTCGTAATAGTGGGGTTTAGTTTAATTGGCTTCAAGTTCGTAATAGTGCGGTTTAGTTTAATTGCCTTCAAGTTCGTAATAGTGCGGTTTAGTTTAATTGCCTTCAAGTTCGTAATAGTGCGGTTTAGTTTAATTGGCTTCAAGTTCGTAATAGTGGGGTTTAGTTTAATTGGCTTCAAGTTCGTAATAGTGGGGTTTAGTTTAATTGGCTTCAAGTTCGTAATAGTGGGGTTTAGTTTAATTGCCTTCAAGTTCGTAATAGTGCGGTTTAGTTTAATTGCCTTCAAGTTCGTAATAGTGGGGTTTAATTTAATTGGCTTCAAGTTCGTAATAGTGGGGTTTAGTTTAATTGCCTTCAAGTTCGTAATAGTGGGGTTTAATTTAATTGGCTTCAAGTTCGTAATAGTGGGGTTTAGTTTAATTGCCTTCAAGTTCGTAATAGTGGGGTTTAGTTTAATTGCCTTCAAGTTCGTAATAGTGGGGTTTAGTTTAATTGGCTTCAACTTCGTAATAGTGGGGTTTAATTTAATTGGCTTCAAGTTCGTAATAGTGGGATTTAGTTTAATTGCCTTCAAGTTCGTAATAGTGGGGTTTAGTTTAATTGGCTTCAAGTTCGTAATAGTGGGGTTTAGTTTAATTGCCTTCAAGTTCGTAATAGTGCGGTTTAGTTTAATTGGCTTCAAGTTCGTAATAGTGGGGTTTAGTTTAATTGGCTTCAAGTTCGTAATAGTGGGGTTTAGTTTAATTGGCTTCAAGTTCGTAATAGTGGGGTTTAGTTTAATTGGCTTCAAGTTCGTAATAGTGGGGTTTAGTTTAATTGCCTTCAAGTTCGTAATAGTGGGGTTTAATTTAATTGGCTTCAAGTTCGTAATAGTGGGGTTTAGTTTAATTGGCTTCAAGTTCGTAATAGTGGGGTTTAGTTTAATTGCCTTCAAGTTCGTAATAGTGGGGTTTAGTTTAATTGGCTTCAAGTTCGTAATAGTGGGGTTTAATTTAATTGGCTTCAAGTTCGTAAAAGTGGGATTTAGTTTAATTGCCTTCAAGTTCGTAATAGTGGGGTTTAGTTTAATTGGCTTCAAGTTCGTAATAGTGGGGTTTAGTTTAATTGCCTTCAAGTTCGTAATAGTGCGGTTTAGTTTAATTGGCTTCAAGTTCGTAATAGTGGGGTTTAGTTTAATTGGCTTCAAGTTCGTAATAGTGGGGTTTAGTTTAATTGGCTTCAAGTTCGTAATAGTGGGGTTTAGTTTAATTGGCTTCAAGTTCGTAATAGTGCGGTTTAGTTTAATTGCCTTCAAGTTCGTAATAGTGGGGTTTAGTTTAATTGCCTTCAAGTTCGTAATAGTGCGGTTTAGTTTAATTGGCTTCAAGTTCGTAATAGTGGGGTTTAGTTTAATTGGCTTCAAGTTCGTAATAGTGGGGTTTAGTTTAATTGGCTTCAAGTTCGTAATAGTGGGGTTTAGTTTAATTGCCTTCAAGTTCGTAATAGTGCGGTTTAGTTTAATTGCCTTCAAGTTCGTAATAGTGGGGTTTAATTTAATTGGCTTCAAGTTCGTAATAGTGGGGTTTAGTTTAATTGCCTTCAAGTTCGTAATAGTGGGGTTTAGTTTAATTGGCTTCAAGTTCGTAATAGTGGGGTTTAGTTTAATTGGCTTCAAGTTCGTAATAGTGGGATTTAGTTTAATTGGCTTCAAAATCGTAATAGTGGGATTTAGTTTAATTGGCTTCAAGTTCGTAATAGTGGGGTTTAGTTTAATTGGCTTCAAGTTCGTAATAGTGGGGTTTAGTTTAATTGGCTTCAAGTTCGTCATAGTGAGGTTTAGTTTAATTGGCTTCAAGTTCGTAACAGTGGGGTTTAGTTTAATTGGCTTCAAGTTCGTAATAGTGGGGTTTAGTTTAATTGCCTTCAAGTTCGTAATAGTGGGGTTTAGTTTAATTGGCTTCAAGTTCATAATAGTGGGGTTTAGTTTAATTGGCTTCAAGTTCGTAATAGTGCGGTTTAGTTTAATTGGCTTCAAGTTCGTAATAGTGGGGTTTAGTTTAATTGGCTTCAAGTTCGTAACAGTGGGGTTTAGTTTAATTGGCTTCAAGTTCGTAATAGTGGGGTTTAGTTTAATTGCCTTCAAGTTCGTAATAGTGGGGTTTAGTTTAATTGGCTTCAAGTTCATAATAGTGGGGTTTGGTTTAATTGGCTTCAAGTTCGTAATAGTGGGGTTTAGTTTAATTGGCTTCAAGTTCTTAATAGTGGGGTTTAGTTTAATTGGCTTCAAGTTCGTAATAACGGGGCTTAGTTTAATTGGCTTCAAGTTCGTAATAGTGGGGTTTAGTTTAATTGCCTTCAAGTTCGTAATAGTGGGGTTTAGTTTAATTGGCTTCAAGTTCGTAATAGTGGGGTTTAGTTTAATTGGCTTCAAGTTCGTAATAGTGGGGTTTAGTTTAATTGGCTTCAAGTTCGTAATAGTGGGGTTTAGTTTAATTGGCTTCAAGTTCGTAATAGTGGGGTTTAGTTTAATTGGCTTCAATTTCGTAACAGTGGGGTTTAGTTTAATTGGCTTCAAGTTCGTAATAGTGGGGTTTAGTTTAATTGCCTTCAAGTTCGTAATAGTGGGGTTTAGTTTAATTGGCTTCAAGTTCATAATAGTGGGGTTTAGTTTAATTGGCTTCAAGTTCGTAATAGTGGGGTTTAGTTTAATTGGCTTCAAGTTCGTAATAGTGGGGTTTAGTTTAATTGGCTTCAAGTTCGTAATTGTGGGGTTTAGTTTAATTGTCTTCAAGTTCGTAATAGTGGGGTTTAGTTTAAGTGGCTTCAAGTTCGTAATAGTGGGGTTTAGTTTAATTGGCTTCAAGTTCGTAATAGTGGGGTTTAGTTTAATTGGCTTCAAGTTCGTAATAGTGGGGTTTAGTTTAATTGGCTTCAAGTTCGTAATAGTGGGGTTTAGTTTAATTGGCTTCAAGTTCGTAGTAGTGGGGTTTAGTTTAATTGGCTTCAAGTTCGTAATAGTGGGGTTTAATTTAATTGGCTTCAAGTTCGTAATAGTGGGGTTTAGTTTAATTGGCTTCAAGTTCGTAATAGTGGGGTTTAGTTTAATTAGCTTCAAGTTCGTAATAGTGGGGTTTAGTTTAATTGGCTTCAAGTTCGTAATAGTGGGGTTTAGTTTAATTGGCTTCAAGTTCGTAATAGTGGGGTTTAGTTTAATTGGCTTCAAGTTCGTAGTAGTGGGGTTTAGTTTAAATGGCTTCAAGTTCGTAATAGTGGGGTTTAGTTTAATTGGCTTCAAGTTCGTAATAGTGGGGTTTAGTTTAATTGGCTTCAAGTTCGTAATAGTGGGGTTTAGTTTAATTGGCTTCAAGTTCGTAATAGTGGGGTTTAGTTTAATTGGCTTCAAATTCGTAATAGTGGGGTTTAGTTTAATTGGCTTCAAGTTCGTAATTGGCTTCAAGTTCATAATAGTGGGGTTTAGTTTAATTGGCTTCAAGTTCGTAATAGTGGGGTTTAGTTTAATTGGCTTCAAGTTCGTAATAGTGGGGTTTAGTTTAATTGGCTTCAAGTTCGTAATAGTGGGGTTTAATTTAATTGGCTTCAAGTTCGTAATAGTGGGGTTTAATTTAATTGGCTTCAAGTTCGTAATAGTGGGGTTTAGTTTAATTGGCTTCAAGTTCGTAATAGTGGGGTTTAGTTTAATTGGCTTCAAGTTCGTAATAGTGGGGTTTAGTTTAATTGGCTTCAAGTTCGTAATAGTGGGGTTTAGTTTAATTGGCTTCAAGTTCGTAATAGTGGGGTTTAGTTTAATTGGCTTCAAGTTCGTAATTGTGGGGTTTAGTTTATTGTCTTCAAGTTCGTAATAGTGGGGTTTAGTTTAAGTGGCTTCAAGTTCGTAATAGTGGGGTTTAGTTTAATTGGCTTCAAGTTCGTAATAGTGGGG